TTATTGTTATTGATCAGAATCCCCCCTTCTACAACTCTTGTTCTCTGTCCCACAGATTGTACTATAGTAATCTTTCCTTTTCTTTCTTACCACTGATTTCAACAGATAGGTCAAGACTCTTCTTTGATTATGTCATAACAAATTTCTTAAATGACTTGCATGTTCACATGTTTATTTTCAAACTTATGCAACTTTTCCTAAAAGAAAGCCAATGCACCTATTTGTCTTTTTTGTTTTGTTTTGTTAGAGGACAAAAGAGCTTTAAGCTTTTTTATTGCAGAAGAGTACCAACAGGAAAACTACTGAGCCTGCCATACTTTGATCCCTTATGATAAATATGTGTCTATATCTACTGCTTATTGATATGTGTACTGAACCGATTTTTTTTTTTTTTGGTAAATTCTCCACTTTCTATAGCCCAACTAGAGATAAACGGACAAGTGGAAAATATCACAGATGAGAATACATTTACTAAACTTTCCAGAAGCCACAATAGGGGAAAGTGATCATTTCTTTTTCCTAAATTGACTTATGTCTTATTGTTGGAACACTGTTAGGAAATAATGAAAGAAACATATAATTACCAAATAATAAAATTATAGGTGTTCAATATTATATACATAATGAATTATAAGTTAACCAAAATTTAAAATGACAGAATCACTGATTTAGTAAATGCTAAGGGATAGATACATTATGAAGAACCTAAGCAAGAAAATAAGAGTTTCAAGAGTAGAGAAATGACCAGAAATAAGGACTCCAAAATTATGCATCTTGTTATGAATAAACATCCAAAATAACTCTCTCTGATAGTCTTTGTGCAGCTTTCTGCTTTCATGAAATCATAAAATAATCTCAGGTTCATATTGTCACTGAATTGCTTTTGGATTCGCCCACCTTGTACACATGAATCCACCTAAATTATGCTCTAGAATCTGGCTCTTGAATTCACCAGGAATATCAAAATGAAGATTTGCTGTACCACAGTAAGGCCAGCCTAAAAATACATCCACACATGTGCACACACACAAAAATAACACCTGGGTTAACTGTATTCAAGTATACATGTATTTTTCCTTATTGTTTCTCTTCTTTTTGAACAATTTAAAACAAACGATAAATTAATTTTTACCAAAGGACTATTGAATCATGATGTTTCATTCTCATGTCTTAAGTGTACCACATTTCTTCCTTTATAGAAAACTGTAAAGTTGTTTACAGTTCACATCTTCAATGACAAGATATTGAAATATGGGGCCATGATTTATCTAACAATATATATCTTACCCATTAGACATACAACAGTATCAAATACCTGTTAAAAATTTTCCCGTCTGGGTAAATTAAACTTAGGCCTAAAGTTCCAAAATTTAAAATTCAAGATGTTTCCTGGTACAAGTATTCAGATTCCCTATGAGGCAGACTAATTTGAGCAACAGCAACTTTGAAAAGACAGCCACTGAATTTCTCTTTGACCCCTGATCCAGGCACTGAATCCTGCCTGTGGCTATATCATGCTCTTACTGAGGGTTGCATAGGAGAGGATGATGCTGCATATTTCAGCATTTAGCTTATTCTTATTAAAGAAGCTTCCTCTTGTCCCCAGCTACCAGCTGGAATTACTCCCTAAAACTGTAAGCCTTATATGAAGAAATCACTTTTATTTACATGGTAAAGTCTTATAAAATGTGTATATATGCATATCAGCTATGCCACAAATGATTTCCTATCTTATAAGGTTGGAAAATCACCTGCTTAAAATTAGAGAAAGTGTAGGAGGAATGGGATATGCATTTTGAAAAGCAGATTGAGTTACATTGATATCATAATTTGACAGAATAAGCTTAATCACTAAAGAAAACTATTTTCTCTTTGGAAACATTCATAGGCCAATGCTTATCATCCATTTTCCTTGTTAAATGATTATCTATAAATAGGTGTACATTCTCCCACTAGTGTTAAATATGCTTTATTTTTATGACACATTGAGATGTTTTCCTCATGTCAGTTTTTATTTGATTTTTGCCTTTCCCAAGAACATTTTGTAAAAGTGTAAGTTAAATTAAAAAAGATAGATCTAAAGATAGAACTTGTACCATAAATTCAAAACTTGATGTGGTTTTATACATTTAGTATTGCAAAGTTGTGAGTTAAGGATTGACCTTGCCATCTAAATTACTTTATAAAGCAAGATAAGTATAAATTTTTAAAGTGAGATTTTAGTATTACAGTAATTACGTCAAGTAGTCTATACCACAAAATTAACAAACTGCCTAATTTAAAATAATTTCAAGTGTAAAGTTATTAAAGTGTGATACATGTCTAGATTTCTGATTTTATTAACTGAAATAGGATAAAATGAAGTAGACATTAATAGATATTTCTTCAGTTTAAAATTTTTTCTAATGAAGTAAAATATTTTATAATTTAAAATTCTCTTGACTGATTTTACCACATGGATCAAATAGATCAAGTGTTAGTTTCAAAAATAATGTATTCCATACTTCATGTATATGACATAGTTTCTGATCTTTAAATTTAAAGTTCCAGAATAACACTTGTATCCTTCAATCACTGTTACCATATTTGCTTATATTACCATGTAATAAAAGATACGACTCTCGAGTTGGAAATAACTAGCATTGGCTGCTCCATTATGGTGGCTATATGAATATATTAATTATATGATCAAATATATGTATAATATACAGGTGCATTTCTGGTGTGTATGTACCACAAAGTTAAAGTGATTATCTAGAAAAATTTAGAATGGAAACTCAGGTTTCATTACATCATAAAATAAAGAATCAAATGGCTTAATTCTTTTTCAAAAATTTTTTAAAAATCAACAAATTTTTACCATACTTATTAAGTAATTCATTTCTAATTGTGTCTTATATTTATCTTAAAATACATGTCAAAAAAGCCTATAATACTATAGAATTCAAAATAATTCAAAATCCAGTGATAGGGTTAATAAACAAATAGAAAGTTATGTGTGCAATTTATTGACTTTTTTTTGAAAGAAATAACTCACAATAGTATAATTACACAAGCTCTTCTTTAAAATACACAGAAAAAAATGTGCCACTAGTTTTTAAATATACACTGGAATAGTAATTATTCTACTTCCTGAAGGGGAAAAATGAAGAAAATTTAGCACTTAACTGCACCCAGAAATAATCTTTTACAAAGTATTGCTACTAATCGTTCTTCTAGAACTTTCCGAAAACCTTAGACTAACATAGAGTACAATACATCACAAATAGTCTTTTTTCAAGAGTTGAATCTTGTAACAACTATATTGATCTATGATTACTTTTAAAAACATCTCTTTCCTACTGCCACCTTCAACTGTCAAAATGGAGAAAGCATTTTGTTTGCTTGATGAACTCTTGGTATGTCCTAGCCTTCAGAATAACTAAGAAAATTTAATAAATTCATGCAATGAAGAGCTGAGATAGAAAGGGTAAAAATCGCTAGCATTGCCTAACAAGAGGTTTTGAGAATAAAGATAGAATTCTTCAGCAGTTGCTAGGTGCAGCAATTGAAAATTTAAAAAAAAATTAAAAAAGAAAAAAAAAAGAAGAAGAATTTTAAGTGTCATCCAAAATAATGAATTGTATTACTTTTAATGTTTTTCAAGTAATAAAATAAAGAAACACTTCAAATTGTATTTGATAATAGCTTTAAAATCTCAGCTGTATATCAGGAATGGAAAGAGTGACAATGTTATTACTATTTGTGACAATGTTATTACTATATGACAATGTTATTATCAATTAAAATCTAAATCTATAGGGGAAATCAATAAACCTACAGTCTTTTAATATTTACTCAAATATGTAAAGTTAGCTTACACATATTTTATATCTCTATTTCTCTAATATAGTGTTTCTACTCTCATTTAATGTCTTTATTTCTTAAAACTCCCCTTACATGTCAAACTTTCAGATTCCTCTCCATACTCCTCCCTTTCTGAAAGTATTTTATTTTAATGTGACTAAGAACCTCTAATGTGTTCACAAATTGAATTTATTTTATCATGAACTCATCATAGGCTCACTTCTTGTTTTGACTGGGTGCTCTCTACTAATATGTTCTAATTACAACATAGCAGATATCAGCACAGCAAACTCTGTCTCATAAGGTGTTTGGGGTCAATTAAATTTCTCATATTTTATACAAACTGCTGTCAAACAAAATGTCCTCCATGCTATTTAATTACTTCTTTAATTTATATGCAAAGACTTTAATTCATGTTAAATCATTTAAATTGCCAAAATGCTATTTTGTTATTTAAAACATTTGGAAAATGAGCCATCAATTTCACTTGTGTCATCTGCCATTTCCATTATATTAGATAATTTGTATCTCTGAACATGGAATAAATTTTCCATTCTATCTGCATTACCAAGCTGAGTATACAACTCACACAATTGTCTAATTCTGCATACTATTGTATAGCTAAAATCTAGTTGGTAAAATAGTCTAAAATCAGGACATATATACTTCAAGTCATTTGATGGAGAAGATGAGTAAATGTAACTGTTCTAGTAGGGTAAGTTTAATATAATAAACACTTAATTCTCTCCTTACTAATATGAAAATTTATTGTAAATCCTATTTGAATTCTACTTGAATTTGAAAGTTTTTTAAAATTTAAAATGATTTCAAGTTTAAATGAAGAATGAATACTCAAGAACATAACTGTAAAATAACAATAATGAAATACTTCCATATTAGTAAACATTTAATATAAATATACTTTTGATGTAGATCAGGGTCACAGAACAGAGAAGCTATATTTGATTCTCATATATACGAGAATTCAATATCTGAAAAAATAGTAGTTTAACAAATTGGGCAAATGCACTCCATTGTTTAACAGATACGCTGGCACAACCATCCAAGTGATGAAAATCCATAACATAGTTTGCTATTTTACATTTTTAAAGTTATAATTGTCTTATTTCCTTTCTTTTCTTGTATCATTTCAGATGATGCTAAGTGTTTGTTTCAAACACCAAGTAAGTATAATATATAGTACATTAAAAGTCAGTCTATCAATCATATTTCCTCCTGTGTTTGTTTTCCCATTCTAATTTTCTTTTCTTTCTGAAGTTTCAATTCTCTTTTGTTATCATTGCTTTGCTTTTTGTTGTTTAGAACATCCCTTTTAGTGATTTGTTAAGAATAAGCTTGCAAGCAATAATTTTCTGTTTTCTTCCATGTAAAATTGTCTTTGTGTTGCTTGCAATGCTAAAGAATATCTTTGCTGAATACAGAATTTGGATTTTGCAAAGTTTTTCTCTCAATACTTAAAAAATGTTATGTTGCTTGCCTCATGTGTCCATGGTTTCAGATGAGAAATCCATTATTTTTTCATCTTGCTTTTCTTTTTAAAGTAAGTACTTTGTTTCTCTGTAATTGCTTTTTTTTAAAAAAAAATGCTTTTGTTCTTTTAATCTCTCTTGAACTTTCAGTAATTTAACTATGATGTGTATTGGAATAGGTATTCTCTATTGGATTCACTGGACTTCTTAAACTTAGTTTAGAACTTTCACCACATTTGGAAAATATTTTAGAAATTATTCTCTTTATTTTTCAGCCCACTCCTCTTCTTTGGGACCAAAATAATTAAAATATTAGTTCTTTTATTATTGTCTATAGTTTTCTAAGGATCTGTTCATTCATTTTTATTTTATCTATCTATCTATCTATCTATCTATCTATCTATCTATCTATCTATCTATCTATCTTGTGGTACTAGGACAGAACACATATCTTTTCCCAAGCTAGGCATGTGCTCAACCATTGAGCTTCATCTGCATTACTTCATTCCTTTTTATTTTGAGACAGATTGTCTCTAAGTATCTCAGACTAGCCTTGAACTTGAAATCCTCCTGTCTGAGGCTCCTGAGTACTGGGATTATCAGTGTGCACCACCTCACCTAACTATTTTCTTTCTCTTTTATATGTCTATTTCTCTCTTATTTTATCTGCATAAGTTCCACTGATCTGGAATTCCACTTGGGAGTCTTAAGTCTGAAGATTTTATTTTTGGACGTTTTTACATTACTATTATGAGCACCCTAGAGATTTTTTTTTTAATGTTAGTGCTTTTCAGTACTATATATCCATCCTTTTCTATGTCTTCTATTTCTTTCTTGGGGCTCATTATTTTTTCCCTATCATTGAGATTTATTTATTTTAAATGTTATAATTGTTTCTTCTTAAATGATAAACTGTATGTCACTGTGAGTCTTTGGGCATATATGCTTTCATTTCCAAATGATGGAATTTTTAACTTTTTGTTATCAATTTACACCTTTATGTGATTGTTTTCAGATACAATGTGCATAATGCAGTGTCAGGAGCAGCAAACAAATGATTGCTTTGAACCTCATAGGCTTGAACAGCTTGAGTGCCACATCTGGGAATCTTTCCATGTGAAGGTGTAGAAAGACGCCCATTTGCAGGCAGCCACTGGTAACAGGGTGGATTCCACTCCTGACACAGATTTTATGAGTTTCTTAGCTTTGAATTTAGATATTGGCTAGCCTTGGATAAGAGATAACTGCTAGCCTAAACAGCCTTCAGGCTCTAGGTGCCTGGAGGAGGAAGAATCACTGCACAAATGATAAGGTCCCAATCAGACCAACATCCCCACAACTGATAGCTTCTTGTTTACCTTGAAGAACCCTTCTCAACAATAAATTTCTTTAATGTGTTCCTCCATACAGTAAAGGTTGGAAAGATTTCTCTCATTGTTAGGATAGACCAATCAGGTCTTTTCTACCCATAAATCCCCCGCTTTAATTATATTTCCTGTGTCCTGAGTCTTTTTTGTTGTTGTTAATACTTTTATTTTCTTTTTGGCTTTTTATTACCTGCACGCCCACATCTCCATATGGTTTACTGATTCCCTCTCAGAGCAAGATGTAATGAGAATTCTCATTTCTAAAATTTTCTGAGGCTTTATTTTTAGCTTAATTTATAACACTTTGATATTATTTCTTTGCATTAAGGGAAATGTACATAATCTATAGATGAGAACTCTTATGTAAAAAGCAAATTTTTTTTAGGACTGGGGTTGTGGTGGCTCAGCAGTAGAGCTTACCTAGCACATGTGAGGGGTGGGGTTCTATCAGCACCACATAATAAACAACAACAACAAAAAGTTTCAAAAAATTAAAAAGTAAATGTTTTAATTGTAATTTATTTGTCATACATCATTGCTAATATTGAGTCTGTTCATTTTATGAATACTCAAGAAATTCTCAAGAAAAACACATACCTTAGAGATATATTAATTTACTTTGTAGTCTTTTTTTGTGCATGTGTTTTATGTTTTATAAACATACAGCAATATTTTCTATTTTTTGTGACAGATTTATTTTCATCTGGGATACATATATTTGAAACAGGCAAATCTTCATATCAAATATGTTAATCCTTTCTGGTTGTACCAGTTTTTCTCTTATTATTATTTTATTTATTTTACAGAAAGTATTAATTTCCTAGCTTTCACTCTGTTCATGCTTTCTTTCTCTTTTTTCTTTTTTCGTTTTTTTAAAATTTTAGTATTCCTTTTAGACATTTAGGATAAAAGGTTTTGGTTTCACCATGGACTAAGTGCACTAGGTTGATGTGTAAATGTTTTCCGTATTTGTAACTAATAAATAATTTTTGTACAGAAGAGAAGGCCAGAATCATGAAAAAAATCTTTCTTGCGAAAGAAAAGGTGGTTACAGGGCATGGTGGTGCCTGCTGTAATCTCAACAATTGGGAAGCCTGAGGCAGGAGGCACATGAGTTCAAAGCCAGCCTCAGCAACTGGCTAGGTGCTAAGCAACTCAGTGAGACCCTGTTTCTAAATTTAAAAAAAAAAAATAGGGCTGGTGATGTGGTGGAGTAGTTGAGTGCCCCTGAGTTCAATCCCTGATACCTCCAATCCCTACCCCACCCCCTCAAAAAAGAAAAAAAGTGGTTTTATCAATTGATATTATAATTATTAATGCTAAAATTTAATAAATTATTCTTGATTAAGCATTCAAAAAAATCTTGGAGTATTAGGACTGGCATTTCCATAGTTCAGAGTCAAAAAAGTAACAAAACTTTGTAGTAGGACTTTTTTACACCCTATGCAATTTCCTCTGCACATAAAACATAAGAATCAGGATGTCAAGCAAAAATAAATTTTAAAATGTATACTTGGTGGTACACTCTTAAGAGTGAAGAGCCAGATCTCTTCTTCATACAAATTTGAGAATTTCATTATAAACTTGTTAGGGTCTGTAAACAAGTCAAGATGGCGCTTGGCATTTTGCCAGAGGGAGTGGTTTCTGAAGTAACACCAGCGAGCCATTAAGTGTGGAGATTCCTTATTGGCTGACTGCTCTATCTAGTTTATGTTAATTAAGATAAACTGTGTATAATGTATATATACACCCCTCCTGTCCTACAATAAACGGCTCCCACTCCTGCTGTATCAATGTACACAAGTTGCTCATCACCCCCCCCCAATTATTTTGCTGCAGTTGGACTGCAGCATAAACTTATTTTCTTTTTTAAGAAATGAAAAAAAAAAATCTGAAAATCAAGGTGAATGTAAGACTTTTAGATTTCTACTGGGAATGTTATTAATAATATAAATATTTGATGTTTAAAATTATATTCTTTAAAGTCTTATTTGTTCAAATAATATTTTTAATATTCTCATTAAACTCATAACTGTTTATAAAGTAACATCTGGAAAAGGTTTCTGTCAGGTCAAAGCCATTATTTTGTACATTATGAACTTCCTATTTTTCTTGATATTAAAGTAGTTCATGATTTCAGACAAGTATGTTGTCATGGTTTAAGCCAAGAAAAAGAAGGTAGTATGAAGTTAAATTAAGCATTTTCTCTCTCTCTCTCTCTCTCTCTCTCTCTCTCTCTCTCTCTCTCTCTCTCTCTACCTCTCTATTATATTTTTACTAGAGATGGAACAATGAAAACAGGTGCACTCAAACACTGAACCATATCAACCAGCCCTTTTTAGTTTTCATATTGAGACAGGATTTTGCTAAGTTGCTAAGGGCCTTGTAAAGTTTTTTGAGGCTGGCTTTGAACTCACCATTCTCCTATCTCAGCCTCCTGAACCACTGGGATTACAAAAATGCACCACTCCTCCTGGCCAAAGAGCTACTTTTAAAGATGTGTTAGTTAGAAATTTTAATTTCTAGTTTACATAATCAGAATTATTTCACACAACATAATACTGAGTAATATTGTAATATATTTTTTTAGAATATTGCAATGGTAATGAGATCTATAAATACCTGGACTCAGTTAGTTAAGACTCAAAATACCTAAACTTACACACATACATATCAATTAAAATTTGATTATCAACTGGTCATTTTCTTATATTTTAGAACTAGGTGTTGAAAATATCTCAAAGAATAATCATAAATGAAATTAGAAAATAAAATTTATAATTAATACAGAGATATTCTGGGATAGTAGCTTACTCCCTAATTTCTTGAAGTTGGAGAACTTCATGTCAATATAGGAATGTTTTGTTACAACTTACTGCTTATGTTATAAAAGTTAGTAAATGTTATCTGAACTAGATGAAACTTATAAATAAGAACTGTAGAAGTATATAGGTGTCATGCACTTTAAATTTTTATTATAATGATGAAAAGAAATAAAAAATAAAGTAACAAATATCTGGAGAATGATAAATCTCAGTATAAAAGAATTAGTGAGAAATGAAGCATTGATAGTTGATTAAATCGCAGCTGACAATGTGAAAAATAATTTATACTAGTATAAAATTAATTACGTAAAAATATAGGATATCTGCACTGGACATTTTAGATGTGAGATATTGCAATAATCCAAGTGCACTTGATTGGAGTTATCACTAAAATAGTAAAGCTGGTGTTGGGAACAGGCCATATGATTCCTCCTTTTTAAATTTCTATTAAACTTAAAAAAAAAACACATCAGAGGTGGGTACAGTTGTCCCACTTTTATAG